CATTGCATTTAGCTGACGCTTTTATCCAAAGCGACTTACAATAAGTACATTCGACCAGGAAGACACAACCTTGAAGAAAACAGAATCATATAAGTACATCAGGTTTCATAGAGCCAAACATTTCAAGTGCTACTCAACTGGCTTTAGATAAGCCAGTCCTTTATTAGTATATAAGTGCTTTGTTAGTAATTCTGTGTTAGTAATTCTATTGCTCGAGGTGGAGTCGAAAGAGATGAGTTTTCAGTCTGCGCCAGTCATATTGACTGTCGTCCAAAAGCTGATATGTTTCCATGAAACTCTGCCGTGGAAAACTGTACAAATCCCGTTTCAATAATTCCCCTCTACTCTAAAGTCGCATCTAAAACGTGATCTGATCTAGCTGTGTATATTTTGTTATTTTTGATTGTTATATTCAATCTCACTAGCTACAGGCATGTTTGAAGCTTGTAAAGGGAAGATGACAGCTCTCGCCACTCTGCTGTTCCTCAGCGCCGCCCCCCCCCTCCCTCCCGATGAAATTATGAATGTAAGGTGTAGAGTAATCATAGATAACACGGCAGGGCCCGTTACAGTTTGTTTTTATCTGATTTCAAATAAGCAAAGTCTTGGCTTTCAGAATATTAAACTTGTTTCGGCAAATTCAGATGATAAATACAACTTTGAAGCTTCGGCATGATTACAAGCGGAGAACGGAGTAGCTTAACGTCACAGCAGGCATAACAACAGCCGGTGTTTCTCGTGAGTGCAGTAATCCAAACGAAAATATCTTCCCTCCGTAGTATTTTGATCATTTGCTCCGCTAATAATCAATCATGATGATTGATGATGAGAAATGATGGATTCCAGAGAAGAGAAAACTTTAAAGGCCTTTTTCTCAAAATGATGACTCTGTAACAGTCATTATATAATGTGACATATTTTGCTTAATATTTGGAGTACAAAAACAATCCTGATATCATTAGAAAGCTAGGAATCAAAATGTGTCTTCGGGTCAATGCGACTGATTTCGATGGAGCAGGTCACTTTGCATTAGGTACAATAAAGCAGGCAGACATAACAGGAAGAATATGTACATTTTAACCCAATCAAATAGGACATTGTCACACCCTTCAAATGTATCCATGTAAATTACAACCAATAAAAAAGCTTAGATTTATTTATTTGTTACTTTATTTGTTACGTTGTTCTGTGTGTGTCAGCCGTTAACCTAGAAATAATATATACACTTGCAAACATGTCAGAAGAACCAGCGCAGAACTAAATACAGTCAATCTAAACTTAAATTTAACAACTGGAAGGTCACATTCCTGACATCCACATCTCCGGAGGCGGGTAAAGCTGTACAGCTAACTATCGGAAAAAAGGAGACCGCTAGTAGATTATTTGAGCAAAGAGAAGGTACTTCAACGCAGAATGGTACAAAAACAGAGAGTGGTTCGTTCTTTGCAAAACCACTAAACGATAGTGATACATTGCGATGTTAACAACCTCATGATAACCTCATATTTTTTTTAACTTAGGATCATACCTGTGTTTAGTCTAGAAAAAGGTAAATGTGTGCATTTTATTATAAAGTTGTGTATATTTACAGACTATTGCAAAAACTAAGAAGCTTATAAACATCAGGTTTAAAACTAAAAGAGCTTTACAAAAAAGTAACACAATTAAAGATGTTTGGAGTTTTATTTGAGTTATTCATTTACATTTTTTGTCAAAGAGATGCTGATTTGAAACCGTTGTTAGGCCTACATACAGTTACGGCATTTCCTGTTTCTGCCGGAGAGAGGGGAGTTTGTCCCAAAGCTTGCTGCTGTATTTACTCCCTCCATCTGACAGGAGGGAGCCTCATTTGTCACTCCACGGAGTTCACTCCGTCACGGAGGGGGAGTGTGTAGGTGTAGGGCGTGGTTTGGGATTGGGCCATACACACGCACTTTTTTTGGCCCCCCCCACTTCTAAAATGAATCTGGCGCGCCTGCCACAGAGGATACATCAGATGTATCCCTGAAATCTGGGAAAAGAAGGCCGCGTCCAAACCGTTCTTTTTATACATCCATGGTCCAAACCGTCCAAACCATGGATGTCCAAACCATGGATGTCCAAACGGCGGTACTAAAATTTCCGTGTCAGTCCGCGACGTCACCCGGCCCAGAAATATGTATATGGGAAAGAGACGTCTGTAAATCATCGGATACCTTTTAAAAAAAACGAAATAAACTATCTTATAGCCCTTATTAGAATCATTAAGTCCTTAAAGTTGTAAAATGCATTAAAAGCTGAAACTAGATTTATTTTCTCTCTCCACCCGGCTGAAAAAACCAACATAGAATTCATGCTGGTCTATGCTGGTTTTTGCTGGTGAAGCTTCACCAGACCATGCTCGTAAACCAGCAAGACCAGCATGGGAAAGCTGGTACACCAGCATGGCCTTGCTGGTGAAGCTGGTACACCAGCAAGGTCTCATTATGATATAGCTGGTGAAGTTGGATTACCATTTTAGCTAAATAAATAGAGAGAGACATAGACAGAGAGACATAGACAGAGAGAGATAGAGACAGACGTACAGTACACTGGGTGTTTCTCAATGTCAAGGAAGGATCCTCCAGAGCCACTATTTCAAGGATACACGTCATCGAGTCCCGCCGAAGGACTGTTCCATAATATTGGTGCACATTGTAGCATAAACCACAAATATCAACTAAAGAGGCAAAGTCAAAACAAGGTTCATTTTAATTATTTATTTAGGTGCAAAACGCTCAAAGGTCTCATTCAAACCTAATAGTCCGCTTCTCTGATGCGCACCAGACGAGTTTGTTCCATTGTTTCATTTTTCAGAAGGTTCGGTTTGCGTTCACACGGGCAAAACTCAAACGGACAGTAAACTTTAAACACAAGTCATGTGCACATTTTCTACGCCATAGCCTACTTACATTTAAATGTGTACTGCTTCACTTCAGCCATTTTCCGCCAAAGATTTTGGAAATTGGTCCGTGCGCAAAGCATTGTGGGGATTTTAAGACCGCGGAGGATACACATGTGCATCCTCGAAATTTCCCGCAACGAAGGACTTCCTTGACATTGAGAAACACCCGGGACGATCTGTTCATCTGTCATACTGATCATACAATAAAGCCATCGAAATTATAATATGATACAACACGTCATTCTGGGTCTCTGTGTGTCATTCAAGCTCGGCTCTCTGTGTGTGGCATGAGCGCATTGTGAGTGAGTGAGTGAGTGAGTGAGTGAGCGAGCGAGAGAGAGAGAGAACGCACCGGCACCGGGGATTGTTGTTGTTAGCATCTGGTTAGCTAGCTAAGCAAATGGACATAAGGAGCTGTTTCTACAACAAGGTGGGGGAGTCTCAGATAACCTCAGCTCGGGTGAGGTAAAGGACTCTCTGAGTGTTTAGATAGTTAACTTTAGTCTAAGTAATAATTAGTGGGTCTCAAACTGTTTAATCACTATTTATGTAAACAAGTATTTCCAAGGCACCCCTTTATATGATCATTTAAGAAATACAAAATAAGGGAATAAATGAAAAACAGGTATGAAATAATTCCAATTCATATTATAGGACACACTGTAAAACCTAACATCGTGTAAATCATCGTCATAAGAATGAATAAGTAAGCCTTACTTATTTTATTTTGTATTAACTTGTTATTAACACTCAGTTTAAATAAGTAACCTGTAATACGTGGTCGAAAAACCTACCTAACTCAATGTAATTGATGTGAGCTAATTTAAAAAAACTAAGTTAGTGGACACGGTTATTTTTTTTTCAACATTAGGACATGCGCAGATCACTCCTTAACCACTTGGCGCTCAGTTACTTTCTGGAACTTTCTGGAACATGTGCAACAAGCCCTGCAGCAGATGGACGTCCCCCCACCGGCTATGGTCATTCTCATTGTCGCACTCAGCATTACAGTGAATATTTTGCTGAGCACACTGCTTTGGTGAGTACATATTAACATCCCAACCGTTTTTGCTGTCTTGTTGTATTTAATCTCAAGGTGTATATGCTTGCTAGTTAAGATGACATTAGCATTAGCTTAACATTAGCTAACGTTTGCTAACGTTAGCTAATGCTATCTTAACTATTGCAGACATAATGTGGCGAAATCCTGTTGCAGCTTGGCCCAGGAGGTAGTCTTAAGAGTGTCAACATTTAATAAACGGAGATAGACGAGGGCTGACTTGATTTAACTGCATAAAAGTGCTTTTTGTATAAGTTGAGGTTCTGTTTAGAAGGCATTGAACAAAGACTAGCACGTGAGTAACTTAATTATTAATGTCATTGTTTTAGCCTAATGCCGTGACTTGTGACCTGTTTTCAGTTGTATATATTGCAACAAAGTATAAAGTTACACTTCACAACGTGTGAGCGCCAGTCAGTATACTCCTAGCTGTTTGCGGTGCGGGACAGGGAGCTTGAGGAGTGACCCTCCGGCCCGGCCTCGGTGCAGACTGGCGCATTTCCACTACAGCGCGGTTTAAGCGTGCCGTTTTTGGTTGCCACTTGGCGTAGGACCGGCTAGCGGGTACTATTTCACAGTTTTTCTGGCCCCATAAAATCGAGGTTCTTAGCGGGCCAACAACCAAGCTGAGTCGGGCTGAGTATGCTAAACTAGAGAGAGAGAATCGCTGGCAAGGGGGCGACAACTACAACAAAATGAACATATTTGACCGTGAATTAATTGTAATACACGTTTAAAAAATGATGCCGAAGTAACAACATACTGATACCGGTTAGTAAAAACCATGAATTAATGCTTTGACAAGTCTGCAGACAGACGGCAGGCGAAAAGCTTTTAAAATGTGTGTTTGCTAAATGGAGATTGGCTAACCTAACAGTATATCAGTGATGCAAATTAGGCGCGTTTCGGCGCCTCCCGGTTTTTTAAAGCTGATTTGGGTGACTTGTGTAATTCGTGGAGAACCGAAGAGTTTTCGTTTTGGGGGTGGGGGTTGTCCGTCCGACTGACTCCAACAAAGAAATCGTTGGAGTCGTCGCCAAGAACAATCGCAATCCCTTTGAGGACAACAGAGCGCTGTTCAGTCACGTCTGGTGTCTAATGATAGAGATAAAGAAGACAAAGATTAGGTTAAATTACAAACTCACAAGATGAACAATGTTGGCCTTTTCCATCTTTTTGAGGGGTTGTTTTAATTATTTTTCGAAGGCTTTTGAAGTTGTACCATATCGTCATCAATGACAAGTGACAAAAAGTTGCTAAGTTATATTACTTACCACCCAGTTGATGCTCTGCATCAACTCTGTCAGTTTCTGTCCAACCGATCCTTTCTTTGATTTGAACAGTTGGATGAAACGTGGGGTGTGCTGGTCCAGAGCCTCAAAGAAGTCTGCCTCAAGGCTCCTACTGGTAACGCCATTAAATTCGGCAAATACCTGAAAAAGTAGAGAAGGGGGTGGGGTAGGAGATGGAAAACCAGCACATTAGGAAGACATCTGATGTTCTTTGCTTTTGTGTGAATTAAAGGTGGAATATACATTGCTCTGAAAGTTACAGCCTTGATATGGACAAGTCACCTTTTGCTTCAACTTCAAATGTTCTCGCAAATGTGTGAAAAAGTCTGCTTGACTGCAAGGCTCTATAAAGTCGCATAGCTGACAGTGGAACGCTGTTTCACTCACTTTCTCGATATCCTTAAGAGTGTGCCATGTTGATAAGTGAACCTTGAGTGCATTAAAAGATTTAAAGGTGCAAAGGCATTCCTTATGGAGGCATGGGAGTGGTGATGTCCTAGTATGGCAGCCATGTTTGAGGCGGTAATGCCTAAGTAAAAAGCCTCTTTTTTCAGAGCAAAATTAGCAGAACTTACAGGTCCACTGCATCGGAGGTTTTCAATCTGCTTGGCAAATCTGAAAATCAAGAACGACAAACCAACAAAAATAATCAAACATCACGTATACAACAATTTAGAAACTACGATGTTGTATTTACCTGATTCAGAATGCAAAATGTGTTATTATGAAATAAGTGAAAGTGAGAAGAGGACTCAATTGTATCCATGCTATTGTTGTGATCAAATTCTAGTGATGTTAAGATAAAGCTCTTACGCCGCTGCTCATAGAAAAAATACAAACGATCAGAGAGGAATTGTGTAGTTTGTAAAAATTAGGGCTGTCAGTCGATTAAAATATTTAATCGCGATTAATCGCACATTTTTTATCTGTTCTAAATGTTCCTTAGAGGAATATTTTTCAAGTTTTTAATACTCTTATCAACATATGAGTGGACCAATATGCTTTATGCTAATGTCAGTGTGAGAAAAAGTTTTTAGAGAGTACTTGTCCATGGACAAGTGAGTTTGGCAATTTACTTGTCCGAATACATTTTTCACTTGTCCAAAATGGACAAAAATAGGGGCCACTGGAATCTTCTTCTTCGTCATCGTATTTTACATTTTCCCACGGTTTTTATGACACCGCTAACGTAAGTGAGCGGTAAGATTTTACTGCATCACACATAGGGTTGGGTATAGTTTGGATTTTAACGATTCCGGTTCTGCTTTTCGATTCCGGATATTTTTGGTTCTCAATTCCGGTTCTTTGAGAGGGTAAAAATAAGTCCCATGACAAACAGGGAGAAAAATATATTTATGAAAACATTAAGTCAAATCTGTATTCCTATTTACAAATCACTTCATACTTTTTAATTTCTTACGGTTATTGAATACAAGTGGTGCAGTTTGAGAATGTACAATTGGCCCAGTCTCCTCTGATGTTACACTGCAACCTGCCTGTGAGACAGAGTCCAACCACACATGTCCAACACATACGTGTATAACCTAATAATAATAATACATTATATTTATTAGTGCTGGGGGGAAACTATTATTTTGAAAACGATTAATTGGGCGATTATATGATCGATTAGTCGACTAATCTAACGATTATTTTTCTGTTGTTCAATTCATAAAAAACGTAATGTAAAAAAAACGTAATGTAACATTTTTTTTTTCACGACACTGTGTCTCAGGGGATCTTAATATTTAAGAACCTATTAATGTGTTATACCAGATTAACGGAAATAATCTCAGCTAACTGACGATACAAACCATTTTTACCAAAACAAAAACACAAGTCTCATAAGAAGCATCTAAATGACCCCTGAGCGAAAAATGCTAACGGACATTGGCACAGAACTCAAGATAAAAGTACCCTTATTACTTATCGTAGCTGCACATACAATATATCCGATTAAATCTGAGACTCCACAGATTATGTAGGTATATAGTATCATCACTGAGTGATCCGGACTCGCGACAGAGGAAGCAAATACAGTCATCACAACACGTACCACGTGGTTACTTTTTAAACAATGTTAAGTCCAACAATGCATTTCATGTTTATCTAAAAGCTTGTAGAGTACTATATCTACACAGTGAAAATGTTTGGTAGTGCAAGTGCAACTCATGAGCCCTATCACACTTGGATGTGCTGGTGGTCATTTTAATGTTTTTAATTAATTCATGACAACTGCGCACCAGCTTACGTGCAGCCCTGGCCTGGACATTGCTTGGCTCCATTAGTTGACAATCTGCAGACGTAAACTAGCTACCATTCCAGCCAACATTAAATGCTGACAAACGTTAACTGACACACAGCTGGCGCCGCTAGCTAGGTAGCTAACATTAACTACTAACCGTAACCAACCAAGCACGAACAAACCGCACGGAGAGCAATAAGATAGTTAGCACTACCGAAGTGCACAGAACTCAAGCTGCACAACACACTACACAAACGTGGAATTAATTTAGCCAAAGTTAGTACTTACTTATCATTGTTCCCTCCACGAGAGACAATGGGGTGCCTCCGCTTTAAATGTTCCAACATAGCCGTTGTGCTTGTGTGATATGCCAACTCCATTTGGCAAAGACTGCAAATGACAATATCTTTGCGTTTTGGACTAACTTTAAAATATTCCCATGCTTTTGAAGACCTAGGGCGAGATGTTTTCGTTTGGGGGCTTCGTGCGCAATCCTGTGAGGAGGAGGTGGTAGCCGTTTCAGTCTCCATTGTGTTTGAAGTGAGATTGCGAACTGCTTGTTGCTTTGGGTGACCCAATATGTCGTCGACGATATTTTTAAGTCGACGTCGTCGACGCCTCGCTACAGCACTAATATGTATAGCCTATAGGCCTAGCCCTTTTCTACAAATCAAAGACGCTTGCACGCTTACACATGTCCTGCAATACACATGCTGCAGCTGCCCAGCTGCTCACAGTTTGTAAAAGTAAATAAATAGTATTTTCATTTCAATAATGTACTTTCTATACCCTGCTTCATAAACAATACTGACATCCCTGTGCTCCTCCGAGTCTGGGGTCCGGGGATGTGAGGACAGCGCGAGGACACAGACAGGGAGGCTGCTTTACTTCATAAAGGAAATGGCGGTCAATATTAACAACACAGGAGCTAAAACGCTTAATAACCTTCATTACGTGTTAGAGAAAGAACATACGAAAGTTTGACAAAGATGAGGCTGTTAAACGGGCAGCGGATCCGCTGTGTGTAGAAAGAGAGAGAGAGACGCTGAGCTGCACCGTGCAGCGATCAGCTGATACGGAGCATAGAGAGAGAGAGCTGCGGTCCGCGGGGCCACTGTGCTACACTTCCCGCCCCGCCCCCGTCTAACTGTACAGAAAGCGGCGAGATGCATTTCCTTAGGAATCGACAAACAGAACCGAAACTAACATTTCTAAACGAACAATGGCGGACACGTACAATTTGCGAATGAGTTCTGCCTTTTGTAAACTGAATTTATCAATAATTTGTCAATAAATCAGGGCGAAAAACGTCACTTGTCCGCCGGACAAGTCAATTGAAAGATCTACTTGTCCGATATTGTAAATAACACGTCCCGGACGGTGGGACGTGTACTTTTTCGCACACTGTTTAATGTTTATTATCATTTGAACAATGGCAAATATTCTCATGAATATTAAACACAACAACCTCTGAACATTACAAATATTCGCCTTAATTCAACCTGGAACCTCTCATACAATACAAATGTGTGTGTGTGTGTGTGTTCGTTGGAGCTATGTGCAACTCAAGGCATATGCTCAAACGGGAGCTGCCTGGAAGCTGCAATCATGTTGCGCACTATCCGTGCTGAGTGTGCTGACTTTTCGTACAATGTCCCACTGTCTGGCTTCCTGCATAAAGTCAAGTGCTCGGCGCAGTTGTCGGCGAAATGTCACTCCTCTGTTTTCATTTAAACAGCCCCATATCCGTTAGCGCAGCTAGCTAGCACCAGATGCTAACAACAACAATGCACGTAAGGTCTCTCTCTCGCTCGCTCGGGCCACACATACACACACCCTCCCTGCCGGTGAGCGTGGAAGTGTGGTCTGCCACAAGCGGGCGGCAGGAGCGGGCTGTCAGCATCAGCTGGTAGATGGTATTTTAAACTCGATGCGCTCTGAAATCTACAGGGCGGCCGAGGACAAAAAATACAAATGCGTTAATCGCGTTAAAATAATTAATGGCGGGTTTTTTTTTTCCGTTAATGACAGCCCTAATATATATATATTAGGGCTGTCAAACGATTACAATTTTTAATTAGATTAATCACAGCTTTAAAATGAATTAATCATGATTAATCACCATTCGAACTATGTCCAAAATATGCCATTTATTTATGTATATTTTTGGGGGAATGGAAAGATAAATGAAAGAAGGCGGATATATCCATTTAACATACAGTATCTATGTTTATTAAAACATGTTTCTGCGTGTCAAAATGAAAGACAACCCACACACCTATCAATCATCAAACCGTGGGGTCTTAATTCATTACGTGTTGATTTCTATCAACGGGGGAGTACTTCAGGAAAGTCGACAGAGGGGGGGCTAGTGGAGTACTTCGTGACCACAGAGTGTGAACGTTGTGATCAGCTGTTTTAGCGCAGTTCTCCAGTGAAGGGGGGGGGAGTCTCCCTCCGCAGCCGGTTGGCGTAGTTTTGGCACAATTCCGTTGTACAGACCGACGTTAACAGCAGCCCTGTCTGTGCACACGGAGACCGACTCTGTCGTCCGGTGATCTAACCGCCTTCTGGAAAAGCTTCACAAGTACGTCGGTACGCAAATGCGCTTTGTGACACAAGTGACGGTACGCATTTCAGATTACGCACATAACCTGCGTACCAGTTATGTGCACCCTGTACTACAGCAAAAGTATTCTCCGTCGGGACTTCCTGCAACAACACCACGCCGTTATCAAAGATGTTCTATTGAGAAGACGATCACTACGTGACAAACGTTTTCAAAACCGTGGCTACTGAAATCAATCTGACTAACTGCTGTCTGTGCAATTTACTCCGCGCGAGTTGGCAGACTTTATTTTGCTGACTTTAACATCATTTTTCATGGTGGGGCTAAGCCATTTCTTCGTATGGGTGTAGCCTACCCCAGCAGTACCCTGGCGCTGCCACTGGTGGCACGTATGGGGCGGGCCATTCTGCACATGCGTTAAATGCGTTAAATATTTTAACGCAATTAATTAAAAAAATTAATTACCGCCATTAACGCGATAATTTTGACAGCACTAATATATATATATATATATATACATATACAGGGTTGTGTAACGGGTCACAACCGTAAGTGACCTGTTAACGGTCAGGAAACGACAGCGAAGCATCTGGGTGTCTTTTCTGGCATTTATTCTGAGAACAAAAATAATATTCTCTTTGCATCCGCATTGCACATCCTCAGCAGTGCTCACTTCAATGTCTTCTAGTATTTATTTATATATTGAGAAATTATTAAATTACCAAGAAAATCTTATTTTTAAGTAATCTTACAAAATACAAACATACCTGAGAACAAAAATAATATTCTCTTTGCATCCGCGTTGCACATCTTTACAAAAGAAAAGAAAGAAAAGTCAGAAAGTGTTGACATGTAAACAAAGAAAATTACGCAGATCGCATCTATTTCCCGCCAAAACCACACCGTAGATATCACTCAAAAATACAATTTCTTATGGTGGAAACTTAACAAAACCGGTTTAATAATATACCCAAATTGACACTTAACTACATACACTACTTTCATAAACTTAAATAGCCGGTTTACCACACACAATTGTAATGAACTATAACACAATTCCTAGCACAGCTTACCCTCAGCAGTGCTCACATCGATATATGAGTGCTCACTTCAATGTGAGGGGAAAGCGGAAATGACATGCAGGAACTAGAAAACGATGTGTAACGGGAAAGTGTTCCCACTAGAAACAATACTCAAAAATATTAAAAGGAAACAATCTCATAGAAATAAAATTCACAACCTATTGTAAATCGTCATTTATAACTAATCATTATTTATACACATGTTTAACTCTGTTCCAGTTGGTTGAAGTGTTTTGCCCAAAATACCAAACATACCTCATCTGCACTTTTCCCCATTTAAAAAGGAATTGTAATCAATGCTTTTAGATGTAAATGGTTTATTGTATCATTACTATGGGTCTCTGAAACAATCAGACTTTAACCACACTGTTATCAGACTTTTAGCACTCTTTTCCCCACAGAAACGACTTCAAACCATCAGTGTCACTATTGTGGGGATGTAGGAATGTACCTGTGTCTGGTGTGGAGCCTCCCTGCACTTTAAATAGATTGATTTGCTTTTATTTATCGTATTTTCTACTGTTAATGCACTGTGCTCATGTCGGGTGATTCGCTCCCTGGAGCCCTCCTGTGGGTAATCTTGGAACTGCACTTAAATAGTTTTTCTCACTTTTAAAATACTTTCTGCCCTATAAATGATTTTTAATCAGTAGGCTATTACCATTATTTAGGGGCTGCATGAACACGAATTTCAGCATCCATTCCCTGCACACTTTCCTCCTATTTAAAACACTTTTCAGTGAGGTGCTGCAGCCTGCTTCTCTCCTTTTTCTCTGCCCCTATTTAAAACACTTTTCCTCCTAAAACACTTGCTAGAGGTGAAATCTCAATTTCAGCCCTGATTTTGGCACATCTTGTAACTTAGTTAAATTTAGCCTTATGTTGTTATTTAAGTCGCTGTTCATTGTTTGTTATATAAAGCAGATTTAATTATACCCTATGGAGGCTGATGTGTGGATGTTGTGTCCTTTCGATAACTTTGTTGAGCTTGTTTTTAGCTGCATGTCTTTTTCTATCTCACTGAACAAAGTCCCTGTATGTGAACTGCTTCAGCTGATAAGGCTGGTTATGAATCAGACGGAGGAGCTGCAGACAGGTGAAGGTGTGAACGTCCAAGTATGAAGTCAGACTGCCAGACGCCATTTTACAGCTCGACACGAGGAGGACAACAGGGTGAGTGTTAACACCAGGATCTGCTTTGTAACACATTCATTATTTACTCTGTCAAACTGGATGTCAGAAAATTACTTATTGGTTAACAATCTGCGTCCTAGAGTCCATTGAGACTTCTGCAAGTGTTGTACACTTTTATTATTTCCTGTTTTCTGATTCGTCAGAGTTACAAGCACCGGCATATACACGCGGTACAAACAGTAACGAGCTTACTCCCGCCTGACTCGCCCCCGGAGCAGCAGTCTTCGTCGCCCGAAACTACTCCGCCCATCTGCGGCCCGCAGGTGCCAGCCAGGATACCACGGCAAAACAGACAGAGCTCTGAGGTTTGGAAAGAGTCGAGCTGGTGGTGAGGTGTGTCATCCACCTGTCTTGGTTCCGGTGTGAAGGCCTGCTCCTGCCTGTTTCTGCTTCTACGGGTGCGAAGGCCTGATCTGAGATACTGCGGAGAAACCTGGAGAGTTGCTACGCTGCTGCCTCCCTGCCTGGTTCTTGCTCCGGGAACAGCGTGGATACTGTTGTGCTGGACTGGGAGAATGGCGGGTGTCGTGTTTCTGCTGTGCTGGACAGGAGAAGATCGCTAGTCATCCTGAAAAATCTACTGGATTCGGGTATGTTCTGCCGCCCGCAGTGGACATCCCCTGTACAGTTTCTGAGGTGTTGCACAAACAATTGCTGGTTGCACTGTGTCCTCACTTACTATGCGTAGGATGCAGCATTGGTTTTTATTAATGTATAAAGCCATTTTAGGTAAGCTTCCACTCTACATATGTGCCAGATTTGGTTGTAAGAGTCACAACCTCAGAGGTTGTAAGAGTCACAAACTCGGGCAAATCTGGCACATATGTAGAGTGGAAGCTTACCTAAAATGGCTTTATACATTAATAAAAACCAATGCTGCATCCTACGCATAGTAAGTGAGGACCATCCAGTTAGGCTATACAGTTTGCAAGGATGAGTCCTATAGGGTGTATTTGATATATAACGCAGTGCAGCATGGTAGAGTGGGTCAAGTTTGGCCAAAACAGTGGGACAGGCAAATGTATAAATGGTATCACCGTAGTCTTAAGAATATATCTTATATATATATTCATTTCGGAAAATGTTTGTCTTTCTCACATGCCTGCCACGATGGTCCTTCAGAATTGTTTTTTAAACTCTAATCTCACTTTCGCGAAGTTTACTGGTGACTCTAGAACAGCTGACAATGTGTGTTGATTAAGAGGAAAAGGTGCTTGGTATTTTTATTGTTGTTATTATCAGGAAATGTACAGCCAAATCCAGGTCCACCTAGCAGTATTAGTCAAATAGCTACTCCTGCTGATTTTATATCTAGATCTGGGCTAGGTTTAATTCATTTAAATGTGCGTAGTCTGTTACCTAAATTACATTTTGTCCGTATTTGGGCGAGTTCGACAGATGCTGATGTCATTGTCTTATCAGAGACGTGGCTAGATAAATCCATTTTGGCCTCTGACATTTACATAAATGGTTACAGTGTATATCGTACTGATCGGCCTAAAAAAGGTGGTGGCGTTGCCATTTATGTGAAAAATAAGTTTTGTGTAACTAATATGGTTTCCAAATCTGTTAGTAAACAGCTAGAATTTTTAGCCGTGAATATTGAGGTAACAAAGGGTCAACAGGTCATGGTGGTGGGCTGCTACAGGGCCCCCTCGGCTGTCAAGGACTCTTTATCGTCATTGGCAAAACTGTTATCACAACTTTCCTACAAGGAAATAGTGCTGCTTGGTGATTTTAATTGGGACTGGTTAACTTCTGTGTCAGAGGATTTTAAAAACCTGTGTACCTCTTTGAATTTTACCCAGATTATGGACAGTCCTACTCGCCCAAATATTAAGTCCCCAAATAAATCCTCCTTAATTGATCTAATTTTAAGAAATGTTCATCTGTGGGAGTATTTGCTAATGATGTGAGCGATCACTGTGTTGTAGCCACAATTAGGGACACTAAGGTCCAAAAGGTTAAACCACGTATCATCACAAAGAGAGATAAAAAACACTTTGTGGAGCAGGTTTTTTTACATGATCTGTTTGATTTTGATTGGGGTAAAATCAATCTGTGTGCTGATGTAGAAACCGCATGGTCTTATTTTGATCTTGGTTTTATGGAAATTATTGATCGACATGCACCCCTGCGTAAATTTAGAGTGAAGGGACGAAACAATCCCTGGTTTTCTGCTGAGCTGTCCAGTCTACTTCATGAGAGAAATAATGCTTGGGCTAAGGCTATAAATCAGGCTCAGAGGTAGAGTGGCTACGCTTTAGGCAGCTAAGGAATAGCTTCACATCTCAAATAAAAAGTGCTAAATCAAAGTACTATTTGTCAGTTACCACAGAAAACCTGAATAATCCTAGGAAATTTTGGAAAGCCATAAAATCGATTTCCACTGGTGATATCCGTAATGAGCTACCTCCGTGCCTCACCACAGCATCTGGCATTATATCAGACAGGGCTACTATGCTAAATTGCTTTAATAAGCATTTTGTGTCTTGTGGCTCTCTGTTTGATTCTGTCACTAACTCTGCTTCTGTGAACGCTCCAATCCTTGACTCTGAACAATGTGGTCTGGAAAACCATTTCAGTTTTACTCCTTTAACTATTGGTGTTGTTCGTGAAGCATTATCCAAGTTAGATCCTAGGAAACCGGCTGGCCCGGACAACTTAGAACCTTTCTTTTTAAAGTTAGCTGCAGATTTGATTGCTCCACCTCTTACTTCTCTTTTTAACCTCTCCCTCAGCACTAACACAATTCCAAAAGTATGGAAGTCTGCTTATGTCTTGCCTTTACTGAAAGGAGGGGAGGCAACTATTTTAAATAACTTTAGGCCAATCTCCAAATTGTCAGTTCTGGCTAAGGTGCTCGAACGACTTGTGAGTGAACAAGTAAAGGAGTTTTTATGTATAAATGATATCCTGTCTAGACATCAGTCAGGATTCAGAAAGAGACACAGCACCATCACTGCGACAATGAAAGTGGTGAATGACATCACTAGTATTTTAGATAATAAGCAGAGTTGTGCAGCTCTGTTTATTGACCTTTCCAAAGCGTTTGACACCGTCGATCATCGCATCTTAAAGCAGAGGCTAGCCAGTATAGGCTGTTTAGAGTCGGAGAGGTCCTGATAATTTATTCCGGTAAATCACTCTGACCTCCTAATTGACCTTTCCGAAGTTATTGAGTCTATGTAAGTTTGCTGCTTGGCTCAGATCCACCAACGTCAGCAAGATCTCACCTCTATTAACTTCCCGAAGAACCTAGGTTCAATGAACTGCTGTTTCAATTCAGACAACTCTTTTTTAATCTGTTTAAGCGATCCCGAAGGATTTTGATATCAGTAAATGGAGTGTGCTCCTACCTAAGTGTGTGTGGCAGGGTGCAATCTTACCTTTGAAGCAGGAGAGGAGGGCACAGGTGTCTTTTAAATTATCCCAATCCAAAAAGGTGGGATTCAGTTTATTTGAAGAAAAATAGGTCCAAACTAATACAGGGTTTTTACCTTCTCTCTTTACAACATTATAATCATACTAAAAACATTGTGCTGTGATCATGTTCAAATATGAAACTTTAATTCACAGTCTTACATTTATTACCAAAATGTTTTAATTTCAACTGCCCAATTCAGTTGTGACATTTTTAAATTCTCCCGATAGAATTTAGAGGTATTTCCTCGTAAAAAGACCGGTGACCATAAAAAGCGCATTCAACTTTCCATTCACCAAATCAATTCACATCAGTTTCATACCTTTTTTCCGACACAGACGGCGGGTATAACATTCAAAAACTCATACCTGTCCGCAATATTTCGGAGGGAAGATTTTCCTCACAGGTGGCGGTATTTATAATATTCACAATCACATCTCTCATCAAATCATTCCACTCAGCCAACAACCAAGAAATTCGAGAGATATTTACCCCGTCTGGCCGAACCTTACCGAGAGCTAGTTACCCAGCTCTGGAGCTTTCACTCTCAACCCCTGTCTTTATGCACAAAAACCCCAATAGCATTTTCCAAAACGCCTCCTCCACACCCACATCAGGAAAAACTGGGCAGGACTACTACTGTACAGGGCTAAACATGACCCGACATGTTCCATAGCTTTATGACAATAGACACAACTTCTCATGTTAGTGTGAAAAGGAAATGAACTCTTTTTGGCCTCTAATGTGTTTCTCCTTAAGCCTGGAGCCCCCCCTCCCTGTGGACTGCTGCCAGAGGAGAGGGAGGAAAACGGCCTACTCTCTTCAGAGACACCCATAACTCATCGACCTTACACACTCAACCTAAACAAACTACTTTGTTTTGTTTATACTGTAACTATAGAAAAACCTAAAATATGAAGCATTTTCATTGTGGGTTATACAAGAATATAATTGATTATATTTGATTATAACTAACTTTCGTTTTTAAGTATTAAACATACTATGAAAACTCACAACAAGGCATATCCAGCCATGCAGTGGGTTGGTTTGTAAACTACCTCTCTGAAAGGTCCCAATGTGTTCACTTTGATGGACTGTCTTCTGAGTGGTTAAACATTTCTAATGGTGTTCCCCAAGGTTCTGTTTTAGGACCACTTTTATTCTCCATATATATTAACAGCGTAGGTGATAATGTGGATGAAGCTACTTTACATTTTTATGCAGATGATACTGTGATGTACTGTGCAGGTCCCTCTATTAAAGAGGCTGTTGTTAAATTACAGGCTGTTTTTAACACTTTTCAGACTCAGCTCTCTGAACTAAAGCTTCTTTTAAATGTGGATAAAACCAAGGTAATGCTCTTTTCAAAAGCTAAAAAGACACCAGAGCCTGTTTTAGATATTGTAACTACGCAAGGAACAAAACTTGAAGTTGTTGCCTGTTACAAATACCTTGGTATCTGGCTTGATGATTGTCTCTCTTTTAAACTTCATGTCAATAACCTGCTTAAAAAACTGAGGGTTAGGCTAGGTTTCTTTTTTAGAAACAAGTCCTGTTTCTCGCTTGAGGTCAGGAAAAGGCTCTGTGACCTTTTTACCTGTGTTGGACTATGGTGATCTGATCTATATGAATGCACCTGCCAATTACCTGAGCAAATTGGATGCTGCGTATCACAGTGCTCTGAGATTTGTCACAAATTGTAAAGCGCTTACACATCACTGTACCCTGTATACCAAGGCAGATTTACCATCACTCTCTGTACGGAGGCTCAGTCACTGGTACACTTTTATTTATAAAGCTATGTTGGGCAAACTCCCGTATTACATCTGTTCTCTGGTAAAGCAGAAAGTTGCAAGCAGCTATTGTCTGAGATCGCAGGATGTAGTCTTGTTAGATGTACCAAGAGTAAGGACTGTCTTAGGTAAGACAGCTTTTATGTGCGCAGCTCCACTTGCTTGGAACAGCCTACAGTCCAAATTGAAATTGAGCAATTTTATTTCACTGAATGTTTTTAAGGCACGTCTGCACGAGATGCTTTCTGACACTATGGGTGTTTGTAAGTGTTGGTGAATATGTAAATATGATGTCCTCTATTGTTTGTTTTTATGTTGTTTTTATGTTTCATGTGGAACTAAATTGATGCAGGTCTCCCTTGTAAAAGAGATCCGTGATCTCAAGGGACCTATCTGTCTAAATAAAGGTTTGAAATGAAATACAGCTGTGTGTGTAGATACAGGGAACATGTGCTCCTCTGGGTGATGAATACAGACAGGAGGCTCTCTGGTTTTATGATCATGTGAACTGTAAGCTATCTTCCTGATCACAAGGGTATATATTATATAGACCTTTTTTTAAAGATCAAACTAGAAAGTGCCCACTTGTTGTACCTTTGGTGAGAATCAGCCCTTCTGAAGCAAAGTGCTATAAAGGATGTGTTCCTCTCCACAGAGGGAAGAGGAAGAGTGGTGTTCCTGTGGAGGAGCAGCTGTCCAGCTGTGCTCTGTGTCAGGACGTCCTGAAGGATCCAGTCTCTACCAGCTGTGGACACTGGTTCTGCAGACAGTGCATCACCTCATACTGGGAGCAGAGACCTCCATCAGGAGACCCCTCCTGTCCCCAGTGTGGAGAAAGACCCAGAACCAGAGCTGGCCTGCAGACAGCCAGTCAGACCAGCTCTGTACGAGGTAAGAGGCCGAACTCATGCAGCGTCTTATTCCTCTTCCTGGTTCATTTGTTTTTTTATTAGGTATTCTGTTGAAGAACAAAGACATTACAATGTTTATAAAACATTTAAACTCAGTCTGTTTTTATTAGTTTTATTGTTATATTCTCAAAAGCATTTCCTGATTCTCTCCTGTTTCCTTCTCTTCCAGCAGAACGTGGTCTGCAGGAGGTTTTAGATGAACACAGGCTCAGTCTGAGGAGGAGATGTGAACGTGTGACTGAAGGAACTGATCAAAGTGAAACCCTCCTCAACAGCATCTTCACTGAGCTCTACATCACACAAGGCCAGAGTGAAGAGGTTAATACCCAACATGAGGTGAGGCAGCTGGAGACAGCTTCCAAGAAAGAGACCCTCCATGACACTCTAATCAAGTGCCAGGACATCTTTAGAGCCTTACCTGACCAACAGACTCTCATCAGAGCGGTCCTGACCAACGGAGTCGCTGGAGTTGGAAAAACCTTCTCAGTGCAGAAGTTCACTCTGGACTGGGCCGAGGGTTTGGGAAACCAAGATGTCAGTCTGGTGATCCCGCTCTCCTTCAGGGAGCTGAACCTGATCAAAGCTGAGCAGTACAGTCTTCTCAGGCTGCTCCATGTTTTCCATCCAACCTTACAGAAGGTCACAGCAGAGCAGCTGGCTGTCTGCAAAGTGCTGCTCATCTTTGACGGCCTGGATGAAAGCAGACTTTCTCTGGACTTCAGAAACAAGAAGGTTGTGTCTGATGTCTCACAGCAGTCCTCAGTCAACGTGCTGCTGACAAACCTCATTAGGGGGAAGCTGCTTCCCTCGGCTCTCGTCTGGATAACTTCCAGACCTGCAGCGGCCAATCAGATCCCTCCTGAGTGCGTGGACAGGGTAACAGAAGTACGAGGCTTCACTGACGCCCAGAAGGAGGAGTACTTCAGGAGGAGATCGAGTGATGAAGACCTGTCCAGCAGAATCATCTCTCACATCAAGAGCTCCAGGAGCCTCCACATCATGTGCATGATCCCAGTCTTCTGCTGGATCACTGCTGCAGTTCTGGACCACATGTTGACTACAGACCAGAGAGGAGAGCTGCCCCAGACCCTCACTGACATGTACTCACACTTCCTGCTGGTCCAGACCAAGAGGAAGATGCAGAAGTATGAAGAGGGACATAAGACGAGTCCACAGCAGCTGACGGAGGCTGACAGGGAGCTTCTTCTGAAGCTGGGGAGGCTGGCGTTTGAACAGCTAGAGAAAGGACACATCATGTTCTACCAAGAAGACCTGCAACGCTGTGGTCTTGGTGTCACCAAGGCCTTGGTGCACTCAGGAGTTTGTACAGAGATCTTCAAAAGAGAGAGTGTGATCTTTGAGAAAACAGTCTACTGCTTTGTTCATCTGAGCATTCAGGAGTTTCTGGCTGCAGTCTACATGTTCCACTGTTACACCAACAGAGACACAGCGGTACTGAAGGACTTCCTGCAGGGAGACTATAACAACAGGTATAACAGAGATCATGATTACCCATCCCTGGATGTCTTCCTAAAGGGAGCCATGGCGAAATCCCTCAGAAGTGAAAATGGCCACCTGGACCTGTTTGTCCGCTTTCTCCACGGCCTCTCTCTGGAGTCCAACCAGAGACTGTTAGGAGGCCTGCTGGGTCGCACAGACAAGCGTCCAGAAACCATCCAGATAGCCACCAGAGGCCATCTGGGTCGCACAGACAACATACTAACATTCATTCATAGACTGTTAGGAGGCCTGCTGGGTCGCACAGACAACATACTAACATTCATCCAGAGACTCTTCAGAGGCCTGCTGGGTCGCACAGACAACAGTCCAGGAATCATCCAGAGAGCCATCAACAACCTGAAGGAGATGAACAGTGGTGACATCTCTCCTGACAGGAGCATCAACATCTTCCACTGTCTGACAGAGATGAAGGACCTCTCAGTACATCAGGAGATCACAGAGTTCCTGAAGTCAGAGAACAGATCAAAGAAGGAACTCTCTGTGATCCACTGTTCTGCTCTGGCCTACATGCTGCAGATGTCAGAGGAGGTTCTGGATGAGTTGGACCTGGATAAGTACAAAACATCAGATGAGGGGAAACGGAGACTGATTCCAGCTGTGAGGAACTGCAGGAAGGCTGAGTAAGTCCAGATGTGATTAACTTTATAAACTAATGTGGATCAGGAGTTTAATTATTCAAATAAACACTTTAACATTTCTGCTGTTTAAATACTGAGAGCAAAATAAACCAACACTGTTCTTCTATTTATTTATAATAATAGTTAAACTGAAGCGTTTCTCTCTTCATATTGAGTGATGGAGGCGACATGTCAAACACATGAAGGACTTCAGAGGTTTCTCAGCATGTGATCAAACCACACAGCAGGACTTACAGTTATCAGTTATTATTACTTTCTAGTTTCTTTATCATTCAACACACACACGTTTTTATCACAATGTTTTAGAGTTTAAAATAAGATCTATATCATATCCCACCAATACCAGAGTTATGTCCAGGGGTGCACATAACTTGTTTGCCCTGGTTCTCAAAGGAGCACCTGGAGATGTTGCTTGGTGCTCATCCTTAAAATGAAATAAACCGTAACTTTTGAGGGGTCTTGACTTTATTTGCCAGACACACGGCACAGAACACACATGCAGAGGTGAACACAGAACACACATGCAGAGGTGAACACAAGACACACATGCAGAGGTGAACACAGAACACACATGCAGAGGTGAACACAGAACACACATGCAGAGGTGAACACAAGACAACATTAGCACGAGCAGTAATCCTACAAGCTGTCATCACTACCCTCCTGACTGTTCTCCTCACTGTCTTCCTCTCTGTCAGACATGGTAGCTGATGATGTAGGCCTACTTCTTTCTCTCTGGTTGAGTCTGCGATTAGCTGCTTGCATCCACAAGTCAACAGCTGGGTTTGGGTCGAAAGTCTCTGTTGTCATCTTAGACAAGTGGATGTAATCAAATAAGTATGTGAACATAACCAATAACCTACCATAGCCAATAACAAATTAATGTAACTTATTTTATTTGTGTTGTTCATTCATCCATCCATCCATCCATCCATCTTCTTCCGCTTATCCGTGGTCGGGTCGCGGGGGTAGCAGTTCCAGCAGAGAGCCCCAAACTTTCTTTTCCCTGGCGACATCAACCAGCTCTGACTGGGGGATCCCAAGGCGCTCCCAGGCCAGCGAAGAGATATAATCCCTCCACCTGGTCCTAGGTCTACCCCTTGGTCTCTTCCCAGCTGGACGTGCCTGGAACACTTCCCTAGGGAGGCGCCCAGGTGGCATCCTAACTAGGTGCCCGAACCACCTCAACTGGCTCCTTTCGACGCGAAGGAGGAGCGGCTCAACTCCGAGTCCCTCCCTGATGACCGAACTTCTCACCTTATCCCTAAGGGAGACACCAGCCACCCTGCGGAGAAAACCCATCTCGGCCGCTTGTATCCGCGATCTCGTTCTTTCGGTCATGACCCATCCTTCATGACCATAGGTGAGGGTAGGAACGAAAATGGCCCGGTAGACAGAGAGCTTTGCCTTCTGGCTCAGCTCCCTTTTCGTCACAACGGTGCGGTAAAGCGACTGCAGTACCGCTCCCGCTGCTCCGATTCTCCGGCCCATCTCACGCTCCATTGTTCCCTCACTCGAGAACAAGACCCCGAGATACTTGAACTCCTTCACTTGGGGTAAGGACTCATTCCCTACTTGAAGTGGACAGTCCATCGGTTTCCTGCTGAGAACCATGGCCTCAGATTTGGAGGTGCTGATCCTCATCCCAGCCGCTTCACACTCGGTTGCGAACCGATCCAGTGAGTGCTGAAGGTCGCAGACCGATGAAGCCATTAGAACCACATCATCTGCAAAAAGCAGTGGTGCAATCCTTAGTCCACCGAACTGCAGACCCCCTCCCCCATGACTACGCCTCGAAATCCGATCCATGTATATTACAAACAGGATTGGTGACAAAGCGCAGCCCTGGCGGAGGCCAACCCTCACCGGAAATGGGTCCGACTTACTGCCGAGGACCCGGACACAGCTCTCGCTTTGGGAGTACAGAGATTGGATGGCCCTGAGTAGAGACCCCCTCACCCCATACTCCCGCAGCACCTCCCACAGTAACTCCCTGGGAACTCGGTCATACGCCTTCTCCAAGTCTACAAAACACATGTAGACCGGATAAGCGTACTCCCAGGCCCCCTCCAGGATCCTTGCGAGAGTAAAAAGCTGATCCGTCGTTCCACGACCAGGACGGAATCCGCATTGTTCCTCCTCAATCTGAGGTTCGACAATTGGCCTGACCCTCCTTTCGAGTACCTTAGAGTAAACTTTCCCGGGGAGGCTGAGTAGTGTGATGCCTCTGTAATTGGCACACACCCTCTGATCCCCCTTTTTAAAAAGGGGGACCACCACCCCCGGTCTGCCACTCCTTCGGCACTGTTTCCGACTTCCACGCAACGTTGATGAGACGTGTCAACCATGATAGTCCCTCAACACCCAGAGCCTTCAGCATTTCCGGGCGGATCTCATCCACCCCCGGGGCTTTGCCACTGTGGAGTTGTTTGACGACCTCAGTGACCTCCCCCCGGGAGATTGGTGTTGATCCCCCGTCATACTCCAGCTCTGCCTCTAACATAGAGGGCGGAGTTGTCGGGTTCAGGAGTTCCTCAAAGTGTTCCTTCCAACGCCCTAACACTCCATCAGTTGAGGTCAACAACGTCCCATCCTTACTGTACACAGCTTGGATGGTTCCCTGCTTCCCCCTCCTGAGGTGTCGGACAGTTTTCCAGAACAACTTTGGTGCCGCCCGAAAGTCCTTCTCCATGTCTTCTCCGAACTTCTCCCACACCCGCTGCTTTGCCTCGGCCACGGATGAGGCTGCTGCCCTTCGGGCCTGTCGGTACCTTGCAACTGCCTCGGGAGTACCCCGGGATAACAAATCCCTGAAGGCCTCCTTCTTCAGTCGGACGGCTTCCCTGACCACCGGTGTCCACCAGGAGGTTCGAGGGTTACCGCCCCTTGAGGCACCTAGGACCTTGAGACCACAGCTCCCCGCCGCGGCTTCGGCAATAGAGGCTTTGAACACCGACCACTCTGGTTCAATGTCCCCAACCTCCACAGGAATGCCCGAAAAGCTCCGCCGGAGGTGTGAGTTGAAGGCCTCCTGAACTTGGGCCTCCTCCAGACGTTCCCAGTTCACCCGAACTACACGTTTGGGCTTACCAGGTCTATCCAGAGGCTTCCCCCGCCACTCGACCCAACTCACCACCAGATGGTGATCAGTTGACAACTCCGCCCCTCTCTTTACACGAGTGTCCAAAACATACGGCCTCAGGTCCGATGATACGATAACGAAATCGATCATGGACCTTCTGCCTAGGGTGCTCTGGTACCACGTACACTTATGAGCATCCTTATGTTCGAACATGGTGTTTGTTATGGCCAATCCATGACTAGCACAGAAGTCCAGTAACAAACCACCACTCCGGTTCAGATCAGGGGGGCCGTTCCTCCCAATCACGCCCCTCCAAGTGTCTCCATCATTGCCCACATGTGCGTTGAAGTCTCCCAGCAAGATTAAAGAGTCCCCTTCAGGAGCCCCATACAGGACTCTTTCCAGGGTCTCCAAGAAGGCCGTATACTCTGAACTGCTGTTGGGTGCATAAGCACACACAACAGTCAGAGTTTTCCCCCCCATAACCTGCAGGCGTAGGGAGGCGACCCTCTCGTCCACTGGGGTAAACTCCAACAACGAAGCACCTAACCGGGGACTTGTGAGTATCCCCACACCCGCCCGGCGTCTCACACCTTGAGCAACTCCGGAGAAGAATAGAGTCCAACCCCTATCCAGAAGTAAGGTTCCAGAGCCGACGCTGTGCGTAGAGGTGAGCCCAACCAGATCCAACTGGTAACGCTCCACCTCCCGCACAAGCTCCGGCTCCTTCCCCCCCAGAGAGGTGACGTTCCACGTCCCCAAAGCCAGCTTCTGTCGCCCGGGTCTGGTCCGTCGAGACCCTCCGCTTTCACTGCCACCCTTCTGGCAGCGCACCCGACCCCATTGATGTTTCCCGTAGGTGGTGGGCCCGCGGGACGGAGAAGCGGAGGTGTTGCCCACGTTGCCTTTTCGGGCTGGGCCCGGCCGGGCTCCGTGGCAAGCCCGGCCACCAGACGCTCGCCGACGAGTCCTCCTTCTGGGCCCGGCTCCAGAAGGGGACCCCGGGCTTCCTCCGGGCCGGGTATCCTCACTTCTTAGTTTTTCTTTCATGAGGTCTTTTGAACCAATCTTAGTCTGGCCCCTTGCCTGAGACCAATTTGCCATGGGAGACCCTACCAGGAACACAAGGTTCCAGACAACACAGCCCCCAGGTTCATCAGGGCACACAAACCTCTCTACCACGGTAAGGTGCTGGTTCTTCTTGTTCATTCATATCTTATTTAAATGCATTTTTTGTTTGTATGTCTCCAGTTTTAAAGGATATTTTTGGTTACTGTATGCATTGGAATTATTTCAAACCTATTTATCCCAATAATTATAACAGGGTTGCCAACTTTGGGTACCTGGCTGGAGTGAGATTTTGATATCATGGGTTTAATTACATATGTGCACGAAATGACTGCTATCGTGTCAGCAGCGGGACCTTAGCATAGCCTATATATAGGATATATATACAATATATACAAATACACAATATTGGACACAGACTATAAAGGGCACAAAGTTTCATTCACTAATGAAAGTCAAACACATGTTTGTTTCCACTGTTTTATTGTGTTCCTGTCGCGATAAGCAATGAATTGACGTATCGTACGATAAATAAAAATGAACTCGATAAATTGCCATTTACATGAGGATGTGACTAGCAGTTTGAAAGGATGTACTTGAATTATTATTATATATTATCATTATGTCAGTGGTCTAAAATGGTCATACAACGGTGTCGACAATATTATCGTTTATCGCAATAATTTCCGGGAAAATGTATCCAACAAAATTAATTATCGTGAGAGGCCTATACATGAAACACACACACACAAATCTACAGACTTACTCCAAACTGCCAAATATATTAATTAACACACTCTCACTCTCATACTCTTTGACTCTATTTTGGCCTAGTAGAACAATAAGCAGCAGACTTTAACTTTTTTATCATTTCTACTGGTTCTTAGATCTGAGCTTGCGCAATACGGGTCGGCAGTTGCGAGAGAGTATTTTTGTTGGGTAATCTATGGTAGGGCTAACCCATACAGTGGTGGGGCTCAAGTCAGTATTTGCAATGTAATTACATACACGCTCCCCTTGACAGTGAAACGCCACGCGGGAGGTTTAGATTATTTCCCTGTCTCAATCCAAATTGAACTGTATGAAATAAAAAGGCACATTTGTCTT